CTCCTGACATCTGAGGAAGTGTGTTGTGCCCATGAAAGCTCGTACCATCTACATGTTTTGTTAGTCTTTAAGGTGCTACTAGACTGTTTGTTGTTTTTTCGTCTACTAATAGTTTGTCTATGACCCTACTTAAGAGCATTCCATTTGCTGAGATCTGCAAAGCTGCAATGTGAAGTTTAGTGTGTGTGTGTGTGTGTGTGTGTGTGTGTGTGTGTGTGTGTGTGTGTTTTTAGTTATGCTTTTGTTCATGTTGGTAGATCAGGTGCTATAGTAAACAATACCTTTCTCTCTTCAATGCTGGACTCTAGTCTAAACTTCCCATTTCTTTGACTTAAGGAGCCACTTGAAAGGGAGCACCCACAGGGACAATGCTCAAAGAAAGATTAATTGTTACTCTGTTTGTGCAGAAACTGGAGTTCTTCAAGATGTGTGTCTCTGTAGGTGCTCCACTATCTGCCCTCCTTCCCCTTTGTTTTGGAGTTTCCTCAGTGGGACTTTGCAGTAGAGAAGGAACTTGTAAAGTCCTATATAGTAGTTCTCCTGTAAAGTCCTATGTAGCTTCCATTTGGGGAATAAGCATGAGTAGTGCACCATATGCCTGCCGAACAGGCACTGCTGTCAGAAATCTCTGATCAAAGGTGCAGGATCTATGCACATCTCAAGTGGAGTACCCAGAGGTGGACACATCACAAAGAACTCCAGTTATTATGCAAGATAACCACTGCTTTTTTTTTTCTCCTCAACATTTCATTACTGCTTTGTCCCCAGAATTCTGAGAAACTGACTCAGCATATAAGTGACCTAGTAAAATAACTTGAAAGAATGAATGAAATATTAGGAATAGCTTTACAAAATGAAAAAAATATTACTATGGGGTCAAAATATATGGTTATTAAATCTTGTAGTCCATATAGGCTGTATTGATTTAAGTTACTTACATCATCATAGTCATTCATGTTTACTATCATTTTGAACCTTTATTACTAACACTCCTGTCTTCTGAAGAAGTGGGCTGCACCCACGAAAGCTCATGATACCATCTACATTTTTTGTTCGTCTTTAAAGTGCTATTTGTTGTTTACGTTTTTCCTGTTACAGACTAACTTGGCTACGCCTCTGAAATTTTCTCAATACAGTTCTGTAAGTTGGGTCTGTAGTTTAAAGTTGATGCATAGTGTATACATATTGATCTCATATTTAAAGAGAACCATGGTATTGCTATCAGTTATCAATATTTATAATATATATGTATTTAAGAGACTGACTTGATGGTTTAGGATGGTATTCAGAGGTGTTTTGTATTTTCTTATTTCAGGCATCTCTTGCACTGTGTTTCATTTTGATGTTTGGCAACTCAATGCTATTGACATCATATTATGCTGCTTCTTTAGCAGTTATCTGGGTAAGTTTTAGAAGGACTTATTTGAGATGCTTAGCAATATACTTCTTCACTATTATCTGTAGATTAGACTGTTAAATGGAGAATTGCAACTACTCTATAGAGTAAGAAATGATGATACTTCCTTGCGATTAATAAGGCTAGTCTTGGGAGATGTTTGGGAAATGGTGAAATGTTAATGAAGTCAATAATCTGTAGACCCATCTAAGCTGTGACACAAGAGAAGCTGAATATGGATTTACACTTTTTTCATGTGTAAGGCTAAAACAATTGTTTTACAGCATCCTAGAAGTTATTAATGTGCTGGCAAATTTTGTAGAACATCTGCCATATGAGAGGTGTAGGTGAGTCATTTTAAAGTCGAAGCAGTTAAAGCTGTAGCTTAAGTAAGTTTCTGTTTGACGCTTAAGTAGTACAGAAAATAATATAGAGTCTTAAAATATGCATGTTTTTTTCAAAACTGCAAATAGTGCAGAAAAGAATGGTTACTAACATAAACAACAACTAATCAGAAGTTAGAAGTCTATATGAAAACAGTCTGAGAATGTCCATTCTCTCAGGAAAGTTTGTCATTCAGTATCCAGCACCTTCATCACCCCTGTTTTTCACAGAAAAAACTTAGTTAAGCAAATCATATACTTGATTGAGGAATCTCACCTAACAGAAGGAAGAGTGGTTCTAATTCATTGTTTAGAAAATGGAATAATAAGGACATCAGTGCTTTAGTCTGTCTGATCATCATGAAATTGCAATAAGTGATTTGTTGCATGATATTCACTCATATAATGTATAGGTTACACGGGTTTGAACGAAACTTTTTAGTTTATATGTGAAATGTCAAGCTGTAAAGAAAGAATACCTTTTTTTCATGTGTTACTGGAGTATGATTGGAAATATAAATACGTTTATTAATTTTTAATTATTATTTTAGGCTATTCTTGTATTGAGTCCAAAATTTCTGAAAAAGGGTAGAAAAGAAGTCAGCTTATGGGTAAGGATTGATATTTCATTAGAATTTATCAGAAAAGAACTACCACTTACTGGTCAGCCAAATCAGGAAATTTTCCATGTGCTCCTAATACAGTGAAGATGTGAAAACTGATAGTTTCAAGTAATATTTTGAATATCACTATTTCAGAATTGACTAATATCCCACAAGGAAAACTGAAACACAAAGGAATAAACTTTAAAAGTAGTTGTAGCCAAAATTGCTGTGTTTTTTAACTAATAATTCTTTAAGTATGAAATCTTTTAGTCCAATTTTATCATAAAAATTGCACTGCTTAAACAAGACTTATTCCCAGGATGTTTCCAGAGAACAAAATTGCAAAATAATTCAATGTCTTATTTTTAAAAGCAAATTGTATGCACTTTTGTTTTAGAAATTCTGGGTGATATTGACAATGTGAATTTAGACTCAGAAACCAATATGAACAGCAAATTTCTCTACAGCGTCGAAAAATATGATTGTAGTACAAATTCACCATCATGGAGAGAATACCAGTAGAAAAATATGATTAAATATTGGATCTCACCAGTGTTGCAAAACAAAATCAACCCAGTACATTTTTGGAAGGAATACCATGATATGGGGGATAATTTGCATGTCTTATTCCTAAATTTAAAGGATGCTGATTAGCTAAAAAAATTAATGCAAATTTCTGCTACTTTGTGGTTAGAAAAAGTCTCTATTTGTGGAAATTTTAATTTAATTTCTTGTTACTATAGCCAATACATGTATTTCATCCTTCTGGTTGGGAAAAATAACATAATTAAAATAAATGTGAAGTCATACATACATGGGTATGTCTACACAGCAGGGCTAAAATTGAATTAAACTACACAAATTCAGCTTTGTCAATTGCATAGCTTAAGTTGAAATAGCTTAATTTGGCTTTTGGCACTGTCTACACAGCAGGTAGTCGAAGGAAGAACACCCTACCTTCGACTTCCCTTACTCATGAAATGAGGGTTACCATGAGTCAGAGTAAGAAGAACTCCAGCTCGACATTAATTTGAAATAAAGGCTTGTAGTGTAGACATACACTGTTATTTCGGAATAACTTCTGAAATAACACTGCTATGTAGATGTACCGTAAATTAGATTAACTGAACTATTTCAGGAAAGATGACCAAAATGGGTTATATCAATTTAAAAATTATAATATGGACGCTTCAACTTACAACTAATCTGCTAACTGTTGTGATTTGTTTTATAAAAAGAAGCTAAAAGTAAGATTCTGGAAAGCTAATTTCTGCTGATTGAAAACTTGCTGTGACATTGTTTCAAAGCTCTAGAAAAGAAGAATAGTGATAGAAGGGAGTCTTAATTCTAATGATTGGAGCAATCATTGATTTATATCTAGTATAAATCAGTACTAGATATTTCCATTACAGTAGGAAATTTTTTAATATTACTACTGTGTCCTAGAATTATTGAAGTGTACTGTGACTGTCTGTTCTGTTATTCTTGACACTTTCCTGACACACGAGAACTTTTTCCACTAACTGCAAAATTCCTGTATGCTTTTTCCCCCCTCTTGTTTTACTTTTTCAGTCTCAATGTAGCCTTTATTTTGTAGGCCATTGAAGGAATTGCTTGCGTATTTGGGACAGTGACCTTGAAATATTTGACATCCCTTATATTCAGAGTCACCGATGATGTAAGTACTTATTTTTAAAATTTAGTCATAGTTAAAAGTATTATTTTAGACAATTAAGTTGCTTCATTTCTTATTTAAATCCTTTACAATAGTTTTTCTTCTTTTAGAAATAAAATATTTTAACTGCACAATATTGATGATGAAGGTTAATTTATTATTCCATCTTCTTTATAAATAAAATAAACTTAAAAGTTAAATCAAATCAATAAATAAATGTTGTTACTTTTTATCAAGCCAATACATTGTTCCCAGAAAATGAGTTAGTGGGAAAAGTGGAACTTTGCTCAGATCTTTTAACTGATCACCGTTGTTATAGGAGTATGCATTTCCTCTTTGGGTGATGTCACTGTGGGTGCTCCACTGTAGGTGATGGGCCTTCCCTGGAGCTGCAGGATTGGAGACTTTTTTTCATAGCAGTCAGCAGTTGGGCCATGCATGCGCAGTAAGCATCTCACACTGCTGGCGGTTTGACAGTTGAGCGTGGCCTGACTCCCTCCCCTCAGTTGCTCTTCTACCGCCCTCGGTCACAGACGGAGCTCCCCTGCTGCTTCAGGAACTTCTCTCCTCACAGGAAAATTCTCACTCTCTTCGCCACTTTTTGACCTCATTCACTTAAAGATCATCTTGTTATATTCTTTGCACTTAAAACAAACAAACGAACAAACAAACACTGGGGGAACAAGCTGTTCCCTTTGTGCTAGCCGCTTCAGCGGCAGTGGCGCTTCTCTGTCCCAGCTGGCTGCACTCTTTTTAAAAAAACAAAAAATAAAAAACCAGCCAATGAAGAAAGAAAGGTGGGGGGAAAATAAAGACTTAATAAAATGGCAGTCTTTATACACGAGCTTGCCGATGGTTGAAATAAGAATCCCCCCTCAGTTCCGGGCACCAAGAGCTTCCAATATGACTGGCTCGCAGGGGTTTAAGAAATGCCACAACTGCAATGAATCCATACCAACTTCTGATGGTTATAGCTGCAGTATTAGATGTCTTGGGGAGTCACACACCCCGCAAAAATGTGAACACAGTAGAATCTTGTCAGCCATGGCAAGAAAAGATCCGGAGCTGAGGCTCCCAATCCCCTCTGGAGAAGGCTTTACAGCCGACAGGACAGCTCTTATTAAATCAAACAGCAGACCCTTCCAAACGCAGATCAGCCTCTCCGATGCCTCAGGGACATCAAAGGACCTGTCAGATCCTTACTGCTTATCCTTCCCCCAGAATGACCAGGGGAGATATGGTGGCCATTTCTAGCACTGCCTCAGTGGCACCCGCTCCAGCACTGAGCATGAACACAGCAACCACATGCTCATCCTCTGCACTGGGGAAAGCGCACAGACAAACCCGGGCACTGAAGCAAGCGCCTACATGTGCGGCACCGGTGAATGGAGTGTAGCCAGCTACAAAAAAGCCCCATAGTAAGTTCGAATTAGCCCTGTAGTGTAGACATACCCTCATTTACCTTATGTCTATGCAAAGGCCATCTTAAAAAAGGTACTTACCATTGGAATGTGGTTCTCGTGACTGTATTGCTGCTGCATGTTGTTTTATCGATCGACCTCCACTGCCTTCCTTTGACTTCAGCTCCTAAGAACTCTGAGGTGGCTGGGGTTGCATGATTTTCTCATAAGCCTTGCTCTTAATGTTTCATGCTGCAGAAAGTACATGTGTAGCCCCAACATTAAATATATTCCATGATGTTCTAAAGTTCACTGGTACCACATGGGGAGAGAAGATAGGGACCACGTATCCCCTAAGTTGGAACATGCAAAGCAGAGGCTCTTGATGAACCATAGTTACTTGGTAACTAACTTTTTACTTGTAATGTTCTGTTGTTTGTATTTTAGCAAACCTAAGAATTTTGTACCTGAAGGTTTCATGTAAAACATCAAAGTAATGACTTGGTACATTTACGCTTATGCTACAAATAAATACTTTGTTGAACTAAATATGAAAGTTTATGAAAAAAGAACTTTGTTGCAGAATGTGGTATCAATTCCTCATTTACTGATAGTTTTTGCTTTATATTTCCTATCAGGCACATATAAGTAGCTTGCTAAAATCAAAATTTATTGGCTACAAGGATTTTGATACTCTAATGTACACCTGTGCTGCAGAGTTTGATTTCATGGAAAAAGAGGTAATTCACAAATCTTGACTTACAAAAGAGAGAACTTCTTTCTTTTACCTCAACTGTGATTGTTTGTTTTTACCAACAAATCTGAGAAGTATTTACTGTCATTGTAAAAACTTTGTCTCAACGTTCAAGAGGATCTATAGGCCCAATGACAGTATTTTTGTTTGTCGGTTCAACGTCATTGTAGATTTTTGTGAAGTTAGAAATAGAAATAGTATGATTTCAGACTTGAAGGAGCTTTTAGATTTGGAGGAGAGAGTAAGTGCTGTGTAGGAGCAGAGTCTTTGATGCTACTTGTTATTTGTAATTAGCAATCACTAACAAAAATGTTGAAGGGTTGAAAAGTAGAAGACACCCATATACCAAAGTCCGGTCTCTTGTGGCTTGTGCAAAGAATCACTTTGGCTGGATGAGTAAGAATGTTTTTAAGGCCAGTAAACTTGTCTTGGAGCAGTCGTAAATTATGGATGTTAAAGGTATTGGTGAGTTTTTTAAGTGATCTACAATTTAGTTCTAACCTTATGACAAAGATCTAAAGAAAATAAACTGGAGATAAGATTGAAGCCTCCAAGAAGATTCTAAAGAAGAGAGAATAATTTGTGAAGGGGAGCCACTTCACACATTTCTGAAGTAGTCGTGGGTCACCTCGGTAGGGGTGGGGCCTCGGGCAGAAGGGGCAGGGCCAGGAGGCTTCCCGTGCTCCCCTCCCCGCTCAGACTCTGATTTGGCCTGGGTGTAGGGGAAGCACTTAAAGTTTTTGCTCCCACCCCCAGGTCCTAGAGAAAACTGTCAGCTTCCCTGTCCCCAGGTCTCAGTTGCCTGAGGGTGGGGGAGTGGCAGAGTGGCTGCGAGCTGGATCATTTGGCTTGGTGGGCCACAGAGGTTGTCTTGCCAACCTATGGGGTAAGGGATTCAGGTCCAGGAGGGGCTGGTAGGGAGTTTAGATGAACAAGGCAGTTGTGACCTGGGGTACAGGATTGGGGTGCAAGGGTTTGGGTTGTGACCTAAGGCAAGAGGGGGTTGTGATCTAGGGTAGGGATGCAGGAGGTGATGCAAGGGTTTGGGTTGTGGCTTAGGCAGGAGCGGATTGTGATCTGGGGCAGAGGATGGGATACAGGGTCCGGGAGAGAGGATATAGGAAGAGGGCAAGAGGGTTTGGTTTATGTGGGATAGAGGTAGTGGGGGATAGGGGCAAGAGCTGGGGAGGAAGAATGAAGGGGTTGGAATGCCAAGGCAGAATTACCAGTCAGATTCCTGGCCAGCAGCCCAGGTTTTTGCCTGGGAAATGAACTGTCCCTGCCCCGCACAGACTTCTTCACAGAGCACATGGCCCTGCAGAGCCTGAGGGGAAGAGGGAGTGGTGCTTCACGTGCTGCTTGTTTTTCAAACAGGTGCTTCCATTGGACAGGGATTGTGCTGGGGCGGGAGTAGCCATGAAGCACTGCTCCCCTTCCCCTCTGGCTCACCATTTGTGGAATACAAATGGCTTGCTGCCACTTTTCTGAGCTGCTTGGGGGGCAAGACAAGCAGTGCTACATCCACGGACTGGATCTGGTGACTTGGCAGGTCGGATCTGGCCTGTGGAGAGTGTTTTGCCCAGGCCTGTTCTAAAAGCAATTATAAAGTAGAAATTGAAAATTCATGTAATGTTAATATTAGTTCTTCTATGTTTAAGGACGGATACATTTATAAATACTGCATCAGTATTCTAAATACTAATTATGTAATTGAATTGAGCTTGAATTGAATTTGAATATCCTTTCAGTTCCCCTTGTTTTGCGCTGATGAAATTAAATCTACCCCGAGGAAAAATATTTCAGGTATAGACCATGGTAGCTTTCAGAGTAAGAATGGTAGTACATAAAGCTAAACTTGAAGGAAATAAAAGGTTTTTTCCATTTCAGACTCCAGTGAGATACACAAAGACATTACTACTTCCAGTTATTGTGATGGTTTTTGGTGTAATCATCATGAAGGTAAGTGATTCATTTAATGAGTTAACTATTTTCTGTTTTGATGGTGTACTGAAGAGGGCAGTAAGTTTGTTGGAACTGAGGAAAAGCTAGCTAAATTAAAGTAGAAATGATAGCCATATTTTTTGTTTTTTGGAAGAAATTCTCTATTGTCTCCTGCATGATATAGTCCATGGACCTGATCCTGCGCCAGCTGAAGTCAATACTAAAACTTGCATTTTGCTTTATAAAAATCAGGTGTAAAAAATACCTATTTTAAAATTAATGGCTAGTTATAAACCATTTAATATATATTTAGGACTAATTTTCCTCCCCTAAATGCCCTCCTTCTCTCCCCATGATGGTGTGGGATTTGTATAGTTGGATGGGGTGAAAGTTATTTCTAATTGTCCTGGTCAATTAGAATATTTTATTCTAATTTATGTAAAAATGAAATTTTAATAAAATGTATAGTAGTATCACTTTGCATCTATTCTGTAGCTGATTGACAGACTATATAATTATTTTTGTTATTTTATATAGCATTAATATATAAAGCATTGCAATTTAATCCATTCAAAAGCGGACAGGCTAGGTGCAGGCTACTTGCCTAATTCTTTGTATATCTAAAACATAATGAATGAAAACTGGCTTTAGTATTTTAGTTTTACCATCTCAAGCTCTTAATTTAATTTTGGAATTTTAAAATGTTCAGAAATGTTTTGGAAAGATACTAATTTGTCCATACTTCATTAACTTTCATTGTGTTCACAGGCAGTTAAATATATTGTGTGGATTTTATCTCAGAAAGACCTGTATGAAAGGTATGGATTGTATTTGATATGTTAAATTTTATGATAATCTTTGAGTGGCTCTGCATATTCCTTCTTATAAGTATTGTGCTGTCTTGTGGTGCCTAACTGTAGAACCTTCCCCAGTTGTGGTGGTCCTACCACTTCTCTGAAAGTTCTGCAGTCTAGGCCATTTAAGGATGTGCAGTGCCCTCTATCGTCTTAGTCCCTTTTAACCATGTGCCTGCAAATGAACCATTCCAGGCCCTGCAGAACTGGCATTTTTCTCCATGAGTGTTTGTTTAATATTTTAGTCATATGTGTAGGTAAGTAGTTAATTTGTTAGAATCTTGGTTCCAGGTTATGGTGGAGCTGAAGAGAATGAAGCCGAGATTCAAGAAATACATGCCCTGCTGTTATTTCAGCATTGGAAGTTAGGTGCCTGATGTTCCCGGAAGAGTGCCGTTCTCCTTCTAGGGGTTAAATCTGCCAGACTTTTACACTCTGAACTTGCCAGAGGCAGAATAGATTCCAGGTGCTTCTCTCTAAGGCTAAGCCCTGTGGATCTGGACAGTTATTAGATCCAAGAGGTCAGTTTCAGCTCCTGTGACTTCCATGAAAGCAGTTGAATGGTTAAAGGAAGTCAGAACCAGTGTTGGGTCTGGCTTTGGTTGTCTCTGCTCCAGCTGGCAGGTCCTCAAAGACGCCTATGTCGGAACTAAGGATCATGCTATTAGTTCTGACGGTTTTGGTTCCAAAAAGAAATAGCTCTAGGGATAAGACAGACACTGTTAGCAGTGCCAGATCATGTGCCTCAAATTTATCAGTGCCATCTGATTCTAAGGGTACGTCTAGACTACCGCGTTTTGTCGACGGAAGTTTTGTCGACATATACTGTCGACAAAACTTCCGTCGACAATTTGCGTCCAGACACATGGAGTTCTGTTGACAAAGCAAGCCGCTTTGTCGACAGAACTCCGTAGTCTGGACGCAACGTTACAGGCAATAACACCTTCTGTCGACAGAGTCGACAGAACTCCGCGGTAGTGTAGACGCTGGTATTGTTTTGTCGACAAAAGTCCACTTTTGTCGACAAAACTAGGTAGTCTAGACACACCCTAACACAGTCTCTGTAGCTCCAAAATAAAAGTTTATCTTAGTCTGAGCTTCAAGAGCCAAGAGAAGGGATTTGAAGCTTGTGTCAGATTGATCCCATGTAAGTCTTTGGGTCCAGCTTTAATCCCAATTCCAGGTCTGTTTTCAGTTCCAAAGATTAACTGTGATGTTCACCATATAGCTTCTGATAGTTGCTCAGATCTGTATGACAAAACAGACAGGCTTTATCAGTTCTGAGATCTGCATCTTCGTCACCTGACTGAAGGAGAAGAGCAGAGGAAGTTGTTAGTCTGTTTCATGAGCATTAATAGCTCTTCCTTCTAATACTCCCACAGAGTTTCTATGAAGATCTTTCTCTCCACTCGTTTCTGGCCTCCCTCTGGATCAGTTATCTCCAGTATGTTCTGTCATGGTTTCAAGGCCAGATTTGAGTCTAAGTTGCTAGAGAGCTGGGCCGTTCTGGGCTTTTATGGCATTACTGGAGGCTACTATAGAAATGTCTTCATCAATATGAAAGACTAGTCATGGAGCAATTTTTCAGAATGGATCATATTTTGGAATTTAATATAATTTCCCTCGACTCATTGCATATTTTGTCAACGTATCTCAAGTGATTATAATAAATTTCTGTTTTCAGTTGAAATTTGCTAACCATATCAGTAGCAGCAGATTGTGTGCCCGTTGTTTGTATATAGAGATCCTTAAAAGATGGCTCTTCGTGAGCACCGGCTCCTGCCTGGCACATCTGTTAACTGTGTACATGTTTACATGTTCACATCCCTTGAAAATACCTGGATTATTTGTATTTTACATTAAGGATCACATGGATTGTATGGTGTTTTTTCCAGAATTATTACAGATGGATTAAACAATGTATCGCTGAAGGTTATATTGTAGCAGAAATGTTTGTATCTACCATCACATTCCATGAGAGCTATGGCAGCTTCTCCTGCTTGCCTTATACATTCAACTACACTATTATGTTTTTTCATCTTTATTTCCATATATGCTCACCTTAGTTCGGGTGGTCTTTATCAGATTTTTAACAAATCTGAAACTCCTCAGATTGACGATCATTTTCTCACAAGAATCTTGCAAAGACGTGAAGCATACATGCATTAGTTTTTTGGAGACCGATTTACAGTAATTTCAATACCGAAGTTAAGGTTCTCTAGAAATACTTTTTAAAGGTCTAAATAAGCTTCATAAGTTGTTGTAAAAACAATGTTTTGTTCACAAGGTTTCCTCCTAAAGAACAAGAAAAAATACACGTTGTGGTTAAGTAAATGGTTGACTTGTTTAATATTACTAGTAGGACATATTCTGAGTACTTACCTTTTATTAGAAGTTTTTATCTGTGTCCAAACAGCTACTCAGATGTAAAGATTGTTTGTAGAAGTAATTCAAGTATTAGAACACATTTTCCTTATTGGACAAAAGTCAAAACATAAATATGGGATTAAACTATGCATCCACCTTGTAAAGAGCTTTGAAATCTGTGAGTGAAAAATAGCCATGTAAGTGATAAATTTATATTAGATTATTTTATTAATGAAATAAGTGGTCTTCTATAGGATATATCAATGATTTTGTGCTAAATAATTGTTTCTCTGTGCTTTCTCTTTTTCCAGAGAGGATAATTTTAACCATGGTGAGGTAAGATTTACATCTTTATGATTTCATGTGTTACTCTTTAATTTGAATAAGTACAGTTATAGCTTTAATATAATTTAAATGAGAATTACTTTTGTATGACAGTTCTCAAAAGTAGGATTTTTTTTTCTAATTTCACACTTCTTGGTCAGTGTCATCAGAATAACTTCTTTAAAATAACAAATACGAAACATCTCTCTTTTGGGGAAAACTCTGATGCTTTGTCTTTATTATATAAATAAAACATTGTGGATTTCACATTTCATTTTTTTTCTTGATTTAGTTGAAGACTACTTCCAACTAAGTACTGTTTGTGTGAGGTAGTTAAGGTTATTGCTTTACTTTCTGCCCTTTTTTCAGTTACTCCGAGTGTTTTGTTAATGTGTCAGTTTTTCTGTATTTGGTTAATTTTTTTCCCTCCATTTTAATGTCAAAAAGTCAGCTTCACCTAATATGACATATGCTTGATGACAGGTGGAGTCATCAAAGTTGAGGTAGACAAGATTATATCTTGGCATTCAATTCCCTAATTAAAATTAATCAGTCTAGGAGTTCCATTGAAAGACTATGGTGAATGCTTAATTTCTACTGACTTGAGGAAGCCTAGACTTAAGTTCAAAATCCTTCCATATTTCCTACAATTAGAAATTAATTTGAGTCAGAGGGTTAACACGCAGAACATAGTTTCCAATAAGTCTACAATCCTTGGACAATTGCTTCCAATTGGAGGAAGGAATCTTTCCATGCCAGAAAAAAAAAAAAAAAAGCTTCCTAATGAGCCATCCAGTTATTTATTTTCCTGATTTATTAGGGCATTGTGCTATTTTGCTCTTTAGAAACATAACTCATCCAAAATGTTACAATGGGTATTTGAAATAGGTAGAAACATTGATTAGAATGGCTGCATTTTTAGCACAAATTCTCCTCAGGTAAAGTGTGTCTCATGTTAGATGCATCAAGAGATAACTATTGAGTCCAGCATCAGTACTTTGAACTTATTGATATTTAATTTTAAGAGTATTAGAGCAGTATCTTAGAAATATATGCAAATTAGAAGACTTACCCAGAGTTGCCCAGGTCCTTTAGGGCAGGGTGTTGGCAGTGTGGACGGTGCAGGAGTTAGAGCAGAGCCTTGGAGATGAGTGGGGGAGCAGGAGGCTGGAGAGCATAGGGGGTGCGAGAGTGAGGATTGAGGGGTGAGGAGGGACACGGGGCGCGGGGTCTTCTCTCCTCTTCCAGGTTCCCCCAGCCAGCAGACTCTTCTCCCCACACCCAACCCCCACACACACTGGTGCTCTGATCAAGGGTCAGGAGGAGGGGGGAGAGGAGGAGGATTTGTTGCAGGTGTGCTACCTACTCAGTCTGATAGCAGGCAAGATGATAGAGCAATGCCCCACCTCCTGTTCAGTCACCCCAGGAACAGTGCAACCCCTCCACTGGTCACTCTGCAGTATAGCTCTCCCCTGTGTGCTCACTGCTCCCAGTGGCCACTCTCAGTATCTTGTCCCTTCTCTCTGTTTCCTTTCCTTTCCATGTTAAGGAAAACAGTCCCATGCCTGGCACTTCCTGTTTTCTTGGTACACGCAAACCCTGATCTTGCTTTAAGTTAGGAGAAGAGGGAGCTGCCAAATTTGGTGGCCCTAGCTCTTACTATTTAGGAGTAGTTATTGAACAAATGGACAAATCTCAGATATATATGAATGAGAGAGAGACTGTCCTTGTCCCTGGGTTCACCATTTAATAATGGTGATAATTTGCCATGCCTTTCATCTCTGGGTCACTAAATCTTTTAGATACGTTAAATAACTAATTCTTTTTCTCGAGTGATATATGAGATAGTCTTGCAGGGAATCCTAGATCCATCATTTACTGCTTGTCTTGCAGCTCGGCCTCCTATATATCCAGCCATGTATCCAGCTATTCCTTCTATGCAGATTTTCCCACTTGTTTGTATTTTCTATCTGCATGTAAAAACAAAACTAAAAACCTTGCAACCCCCAGGGAAGAACAACAAAACCATAAGAACATAAGAATGGCTGTACTGGGTCAGACCAAAGGTCCATCTAGCCCAGTAGCCTGTCTGCTGACAGTGGCCAGCTCCAGGTGCCCCAGAGGGAGTGGACCAAAGACAATGATCAAGCGATTTGTCTCGTGCCATCCACCTCCAGCCTCTGACAAACAGAGGCCAAGGACACCATTTCTATCCCCTGGCTAATAGCTTTTTATGGACCTAACCTCCATGAAATTATCTAGCTTCTCTTTAACTTCTCTTTAACCAACTTATTTTTTTCATTGCTTGAATTTGGAAGATGATTTTACTTTGGCAATAAATAAATAAACTCTTAAATAGTTTATTAAACTCTTGTATTTTTCAAAGATTTGTTCTGAATATCAAATGATCAACATTTTAGCTTATGCATTTGTATATTTTTTTGGCAGCTGATATATCATGCATTGCAGCTATTGGCATTTACTGTACTTGGCATCCTAATTATGAGACTGAAACTATTTCTGACTCCTCACATGTGCATTATGGCTTCTTTGGTTTGTTCAAAACAGGTAAGATATATTTTAATCCTTCAATTCTCTCAAGCCTTAATATTACTGTAACACATTGTTCTCTGGTTATCCAAAATTATATAAATTGCTCTATTATTCATAATTGCTGAATATTTTAATGATAATATGTATTAGAAGATTTACTCATTGTTGCTTGGGTCCTTCAGGGCAGGAGTCTGGCAGCTCTGCACAGGGAGTCCAGGGAGGGAGCACCACCTCCATCTCCTGACTCAACTCATCAGTCTACCCAGCCTACCTGGGCTATGGAGGGATGCAACTAAAAATATAACTCAAAGAGGAGACTCAGCTCAAAATGTTTGAAAACCATTCAGGGTTCAGGCAGGAAGTTAGCTAAGGGCTTTGTACAGTTGAGATTAGGGGGGTTTGCTATGGGCTGTGTGTGGGTGGGAGTCTTTGAATGCGGGTCCAGCTTCAGTAGGGGTTTGGGTGTTGGGGCTCCCAGACATTCCTGGCTTGCTGGGAGGCCTGCGGGCTTCAACCCTGCACCACTCCCAGCTTTGGGGATGGTGGACACCTGCCAGCTTTAGCCCCGTGCCACTTCTGGTTTCTGAGTGGAGTGCTCTGCTGGCTTCAACCCCATTGAGGGAAGGCACTGGGGCTTGGGACAACAGGTTGCAGCACCAGGACATTGCAGACACCCAGGAAGGACTTGCTAGACTTTCATTTGAGAACCACTGCTATGGTATCCAACTACACTGGTTTTACATATGAGGCCTGGATATTTCCAGTATGTACCCTGTTTTCATTTGCTTTATAACTTTGCCAAATTTTAACTGTTGAGAGGAAATTTTCTATGCCAGATTGTCTCAGGCTGTTTAATTTTTTTCATCTAAACAGTGCAACTGTTTCCATGAGAAAAGCTAGAGGGGAAATACATTTTGCCCATATTAAAATTTTGTGACAAGTTGTTACACAGTCATGCATTGAATCAGGGCATTGAAATTTCAGTTTTTCAGGGAGCAGATAGCCCTTTAGTTGATAGATGGAGAGGCACCATGGGGAGCCCCTGCGGTATGGGGCTGGCAGCAGGGTGGGGAGCCCAGGTCTGGGGAGTCCCATAGCCTAGAGTGGGGCCGGCAGCCAACAGAGAAGCATTGTCCTCCTCTGGTCCGGCAAACTCTCTGGTTTGGGACTACTCAGGTCCCAAGGGTGCTGGACTAGGGAGGTCCAACCTGTAGTCTCAAATTGGACACCCAAAATGAGTGCAAGTTTTAATCTTAATTTGACTGTCACCCTGCTCTTCGTCTGTCAAGTGTATTGGCAACTTGAAAACATAGATATTTGTGAGTAATTTTTTAGTCTCATACTTGGGGAATGTATGGGAGAAAAGACCAAGGGGTTATTTATGTTAAGATTACAAAAACATTTGTATAGACTCTCATTCCCCCATTTTCCCCATAACTTTAAAATGGAAACAAAATTCATGTCCTGAGATTTTTTTTATAATTTTTTAAATTCTGCAAGTTCTTGGTGTGTTAAATTAACAAACTTCCATTAACGTTCTCAAAATAGACATTCTAAAGTTGTTTCTTCATCAGTCTCTACATTAGTAATACAAATAGCATATATTATTTGACATAAAAGTTGCCCTTTGAACCAGGAAATCAATCAAATAAACTTAGTCTTTTGTTCTCTCTCTCCATGTTTCTGTTGTATCCATCACTGTGAACTGTAGGCACTGATTTAAAAATTATTCACAATAAATTCTGTATAAAATAGGCATACATTCTTCTTCCTTAATCCCTTATTTTAGTTGATTTCCATTATTCATGAGAATGCTGTTGAGCTATTCTTCAGCAAACTGTCTTAAGAAGTTTGCCCTGTAGCTGTTAATACACCTACCAAAGAGCTGTCAGTTGCTAAAACAGATCAGCAGTTAAATTAATGGGTTAATAACATGTTATATTTATATGAAATGACATTTTAATTTTTGGAGGCTAGTCTTACTATATTTTAGAAATGTATGTCTGTCTGTCTGATTTCCCAGAGGCAAAGGGGGGGGTCAGCACATGACCTGGTGGTGGAGAAAGGAAAGGAACAGCTATTTACTATATATTTCATTGTGTGTCTGTTTATCTGTGCGTCCCCCAACCAGAGGATATGCACCCCTCCCTTGACTGTGCCTGCTGCAGCAGCTATGAAGAGGCACTTCTCACCTGGCCCCAATCTGCTATGGTGAGAAAGGTTTGGGGTTATCCTCTTTCCCCAGGGTAGTCCTCATCCCCAGCTCCATCCCAGAACAATGTTTTAAATTAAGTAAAACCAAAAATTATTTGAGTTAAGGACCTGAGCAATGCCAGGTCAATCTTCTAGTAGAATTATAAATGTCCATAGAATGGTTGTGTGGTATTCTGGCATTTAGACGTTGAGCTGCTTACTTTTGTTCTCTATTGTAACCATGGTCCTCTCAGAGCAGTAACTTCCCTAAGAAACTGATATAAATTATGACCCTCTCAGGTCATGTCTAAACTACATCCCTCTTTCGAAAGAGGGGTATAAATAAGACAGATCGAAATTGCAAATGAAGCTGGGATTTGAATTTCCTGTGCTTCATTTGCATAATGGCAGCTGGGTATTCTTTAAAAAATGGGTATTTTGAAAGTGAAACCACCGTTGAGACATGGTTCTTTTGAAAGAAAAACCCTTTTTTGAAAGATTCTGTAAACCTCATTTTTTGAGGAATACAGGATCTTTTGAAAAAGGGTTTTTCTTTCAAAAGAACTGCATCTAGACAGTGGTTTCATTTTTGAAATACTCACTTTCAAAAGAACGTGCGGCTGCCATTATGCAAATGAAGCATGGGAAATTAAAATTTCAGCTTCATTTGCAATTTCGATCTGTTTAATTTACATCCCTCTTTCAAAAGAGGGATGTAGTCTAGACATAGCCTAAATGTTGTTATAGAGTCTTACGTCTATATAAGAAACTCGTTATGCTACATTCATTCAGCAGACTGCAGGTTGCTTCCTTTTGATTACGTAAACTAGTGGTCTTGATTAATGTCCAAAATAGCAAGAAGCTATGACTGCCCTTCTACCCTTGTGCTGCACCCACTGGGGCCAGGTACACTGTGCACAAGGAATGCTCCAGTGCCTTTCTTTGCTTGTGCGAGTTTACTCGGGAGATGCGGGGGGGAGAGGGAAGGAACTGGGTTCTCTGAGAGATGTATGTTGTACACTTTAGAAGGATAGTGCTTTGGCCATATTCCCTCAATTAAGCATGTGCTATATGAGATATTACAGGCTTATTGAGAGGTCTTAATTGGAAATTAATTAACCTAACAACTGTGATTAATAGTACAGTAATTACATAAATTCTGTTTAATGGGAATGCATTCAGGTAGTGCCAAGTAATTTAAATAGTGTGTAAAATGAGCATCATAAGCATAAAGTGTAAAGCCACTTTTTTAATTTGCGAGTTGACAATAAAAATTAAGGGATGTGTTTTGTGAGTACTTGGGGGATAAGGTCAAGTATAGCTGGGATACAATGTCCTTGATGAAGCAAAATAATAAAGCAGTAAAAAGAGAATTCCTGTTTCCTTCCCCAGTATTCATTTTACTGAGGTGTGCACTTCAAAGTGTGTTTCAAACCATTTGCATTGTTGTTGAAACAATGGCAATCTTTTTCTGTGTAGGAGAGAGAAAGAGTGAATGTAATGTAAAAGTAAGGTTGTACCATTAATTTTTGCCATTCTGATTTGTTTCTAGGTTCTTTAAAAAAGTTTACTTATTCTTTATCTTTTTATGTAATACATTTAACATGATCAGATCTACAGGCAGTCCCCGGGTTACGTACAAGATAGGGACTGTAGGTTTGTTCTTAAGTTGAATTTGTATGTAAGTCGGAACTGGTACATATTGTAGGGGAAACTCTAGCCAAACATTTCTCCAGAGCTCAGTTTTATTCTCCCACTCCTCACTTCCCTCAGTCCTTTATTCTCAAGCTGAAGTGTCTGCTGAGAAAAGCTGCTCCGCGTCTCCCTGGTTTGCTGGAGGGGGGCACTAGCTTCGCGTCTCCCTGGTCTGCTGGGGAGAAGCAGCTAGTGCAGGGTTGCCTCACCCTGTTTGTAAGTAGGGATCCGATGTAAGTCGGATCCATGTAACCCGGGGACTGCCTGTATACTGAATTGTTCATTTGACAAGAATATAAAATACACCATATGTGAGATATAGAAGCTGACATTGCTAAATTCCCTGACTTTTTCACTGCAAATTTAAGGTTATATTAATGTGTATTTTCTTATTACATAGAATTAAAAAAGTAGGAGCAATGTACTACAATGGCGTCAACCTAAGTGTATACTTGTTAATGTCTTAATCCTTCTCTCACTGAAATAATGGCAAAATTTCCACTGACGTCAACCGGAGCAGGACTGGGCCCTAAAAAATCTTTTCATTGTAATGTCCTTGATAGGATTCTACTAGAGTTATTGAAATCCTAAGACATGAGTATTGTGTAATACTGTAGGAATCAGAGAATTAACTGGCTTTTATATTTCAGTTGTTCGGATGGCTCTTTGTCAAAATCCAGCCCAAAATCCTGGTCTTTGCTATTTTAGCAATAATGGCAATTGAAGGATCAGCAAACCTTCAGAATCAATGGAACATCATGGGAGAATTTAGTAATTTACCACAGGAAGAACTTTTAGAATGGATAAAATCCAATACCAGAGAAGGTAAACTATTTATTTAGTTATATGTGATGTCCTTATTTACTTTTAGCAATAACTGAAGGAATTTTTAGCAATAAACTGTTAAAAAAAAGTCAGGAAGATACTGGAATTGAATCAAGCTTAAGTCAAATAAAATGCTAACTGCATTTTTCAAAATACTGTTGTACTATTACACGTTATATGGATTTTGACACAGATTAAACACTTTTTTAGCTAACGTTTGAAATGTTGGAATACGGTCCTTGTATTTCACTTAGAGTTAACTGAGAATCCTCTATTGTGCAGACATATATTCTACTCAGGGGTGCATGTATCCAGTGACCCAAAGCCAGAGAATTTTTCCTAGAATTACCTATAGGTGCTGCATTTGCATTCTCCAGCTCCTTAAATCCTCCCCAAGCTATTTAAGTTGATGCCACCCCATCTGTCATCAGTTCCTTCTACCTATACATGGCTAGAGTTGGAACAATCACTGTGATAGCTCATCTCAAGCGTCTTTATCTTAGTCTTTTTCTGGGATTTTATTGTTGATATCCAGATCTGATTAGACAGCACTCACTGCATGGATGCCACATAGATAGTATTTTTTTTTAACTGCAATGTTCTTTCCTTTCTTACATTTATTTTGCTGTATTGCCCCTAGAGCTGTGTTGGCTTGAGTATTTCAAACTGAAAATCTCTTCTCCCTTTTTCTTATTATCCCTAACTTTAAATAAGTCTTTCATTGTATATTTCAGATGCTGTTTTTGCAGGAGCGATGCCCACAATGGCAAGTGTCAAGTTGTCTGCCTTTCGACCTATTGTAAATCATCCCCATTATGAAGATGCAGGGCTGAGGTAAATTTCTAAGTTCAGTTTTATTCCCCTAACATTACCTATTTGGGTCTGGTAATGTACAATAAGACTGATGATCATGATGTCTAGTACAGTTTTTAAAAAAAAAATCCATGCAGTTCTGTGTCAATTTTTGTTGGACTAATTAACGTTGTTTTAAAATACTCGTGAACAAGTTGAAGGACAACAGTACATTGTGGGTCAGAAGTAGTAAAAACATGCTAAAGGTTGAGACTTAAGACTGGTCTCTGCTACAAGGTTAAGTTGATTCATCTGCAACGCTCAGGGATATGAAAAATCCAACACCACTTTGGCATAGTAAAACCAATATAACTAGTGGTGCAGATACCTAGATCAACAAAAAATTCTTCTGTTGACTGAGTTTCCATATATTCAAGAGAGAGATGTGCCTATAGGTGCTCAATATTAGATCGGTGTGCCACCGCTGAGCCTTAGAGTGGAGATTTGAGAGCAGTGTCCCTGGGGCCATGCATGTATGCACTGGCTGCTCCCAAGGTGGGCAGGACTTGAACCTGTGCTCCCCAGGAAAATGCTATATCCCCATGTCCACTCTAGAACCCTCCCTACCTCCAGAGAGTCCCTTAACCCACTCCTCAGTTCCTTCTCTACTGCCTCTGGCTACAGACAGACTCAACAGTGCATCCTAGCTTCTTTGTCTTTGTCTTCATGATTATCTCTGCTTAAAACTAGTTTAGTTGTAATTATAGTAATTAGTTAGTTAATTAGTATTTAAAAAAAAACGAGATTAGTATAAGGTTTTTTCTCCTAGTTAATCCTTTCCTGCTGCTCCTTGACTGCTTTCACAGACATACCTGGCTCACTGGGGTTTAAGCGCTGCCCCTCATGTAAAGAGCCTATTCTAATATCAGATGGCCATTCATAATGCGTCCACTGCCTCAGAATGCAGCATATCTACCAAAAATGTCCTCGTTGTGCAAAGTTAAAATTGTGGGCGTGGAAGGACAGAGACCTCCACCTCAAGCTATTTTTACTTGAAAACTCTCTGACCAGCTTCTGACCAGGGCCAACAGCCAGAGGAACATAAACAGCAGGGAACCAAAAAGCCTGCCAAAAAACAAACTTCCTCACTACCTTAGGGGGCTACAGCTTTTCCCCAGATAATTCTCCTTACCCAGATCAGACTATTTACTCTTCCAGATTTCGGAATATGCCTTCATATTATGGCAATCCCTGGGTACCCCCGCCCGAACTATACCACCACTGGCAATACTGGGACAAATGGCAATATTATCAGATACACCAGCATGGCTGGAAACAACACAGAATGCAATATCCCCCTTCTAAACAAATACAAGAAGGGGACCCACCCACACAAGAAGGGGCAGTCTTTCTGGACCAAAATGACACCCCCCAGTGAAGGGAGCATCTCTGGCCCGAGCTCCAACTACCTCAGATGATGGTAACTTCCAAGAGTTTTTTAAATGGGTAGCTGCCAAATTAAACATTCCTCTTTAGAAGGTTGTGGAAAATCAGGATGAGTTAACTGACCTATTGCACTCAGTAACACTGTCAAAAGCACTGCTAATTAATCCATCAATGATGGAACTGGCAGATACAGTGTGGCAAACTCTGGCATCAATCTCTTCTACAGGTAAGAGAACAGAAAAGAAATGTTATGTTCCACCCAAGGAATCTGAATTTATTTTTACTCACCCAGTACCTGATTCCCTCGTAGTGGAGGCTGCACAATAAAAATCCAAGCAGCAACACTATCGGTCTACTCCAACAGACTGCGATAGCTAAAGAATTCATTTGGGTGCAAAATATATGCATCTTCCACTTTACAGTTTCACATTTCGAACTACACAGCTTTATTAAGCAAATATGACTACAAAAATTACACCAAACTTAATGACTTTACCATAGATATTCCCAAGGCTAAGCGACAACAGTACAAAGCACTGGTAGTGGAGGGTCACATGATTGCTAGAACAGCATTGCAAGCCGCTGCACGATCTACAGCAACAGCAGAAGGGTGTCATGGTTTAGCTCCACTCCATTCCCCAGAGAGATTCAATCTACAATGGAAGACCTGCCTTTCAATGGTCTGAAGTTGTTTGCAGCTAACACCAACGAAATTCTCCACTCTATGAAAGACTCCAGAGTAATACTCTAGTCCTTGGCAGATCCACAACCAGGCAACTATAAGAACGTAATATAGGTATCATCCCTACCTGAGACCTCAAGACCCTCCATGTATGCACACATTACAACAGACAAGGCCAACATCGGCAGAACAAAGCCAGTACTCAACAGCGCCACCCTTCCCCTACCAACTCACAACAGTCGCAGCAGTCCAATAAGCAAATTTGAACATCAGGTCGAGGGTCAGGAGAGCCTCTCGCCTATTCCAATGCCATCGACGCAAGCAAACCTGTTCCATCATCGATTGATACCCTTCTTTAACAATTAGCAACATATAACCTCTGACAGATGGGTCCTGCAAATAATTGAAAAAGGCTACCATATTCCCTTAGTGTTCATGGCCCCTTCTCAGCCCCCTTCCTGGTCCCTTTTTAGGGACCACTCTCATGAGATTCTACTTCAAGAAGAGATAGAGCACCCTTTGCACATAGGGGAGATTGAATCACTCCCCACACTATTTAGAGGCAAGGGGTTCTACTCCCATTACTTCTTGATAGAAAAAATATCGGGAGGCTGAAGACCTATCCTAGACCTTTGGGGCCTCAATAAATTCGTTGAAAAAAAAATTCAAGATGGTGACTCTTGCCACTATATTACCGGTGTTGGAACAGGACGATTGTTGCTTGTCTCTCGACTTGCAAGAGGTGTACTTTCACATTGCTGTCCACCCTGCTCACTGATGTTTTCTTAGTTTTGTTGTAGATTCTCAACACTACCAATACAAGGCGCTTCCATTTAGACTATCTATGGCCCCAAGAATCTTTTCAAAGGTTCTAGCAGTTGTCACAGCATATCTGAGAAAACAAAGTGTCATATTTTCTTACCTGGACGACTGCCTCCTCAAGTCGCACTCACACAACGATTCCTGCCGTTCTCTGTCGGTCACAAGACACCTATTCCGACATCTTGTCCTTCAGGTGAATGAAACCAAATCGACACCGTCTCCTACACAAAAGATACAATTTATAGGAGCATCCCTCCCTACGGACTGCTTCCAAAAAATTGTGGCCTCGGTAAATACCTTACGATCTAGCCCCCACACAACAGCACTCAAATGCCTTTAGTTGTGTGGAGCACTTGGCAGCGTACAACTTCATAGTCAACAATGCGCACTTGCACATGAGATACTTACAGGGCTGGCCGAGACAGGTTTACAAACTCAATGTCCATCCATTATCCAAATCCCTAGTCCTCCCAGAGATAGTAAAGGAATCCTTATGCTGGTGTCTAAGCCCATGGACCTTTGTTCTGGAGTTCCCATCACCCACCAGAACCATCTGTCTCCATGATGACAGATACATCTCATACAGGATGGGGCATCCACTTATGACTCATACGTGCCAGAGTCTGTGGTCCAGGAGTGACAAAAACTTCCACATAAGCATCCTGGAACTTCATGCAGTCAGGAATGCATGCATCAAATCACTGCCATTCATCACCAACAATCATGTCAGACTATACATAGACAATGTCGCAGCAATGTTTTATATAAATCCTCAGGGCGGAGCCCGATCTCAAGCGTCTTGCACAGAGGCAAAATATACTGTTTGGCCATAGAACTTTGGAACTGGTGAGTAAAATACAACTTAATTATCACCGTAGTGCACCTTCCAGGTGCCCTGAATATAAAAACAGATGCACTCATCAGAGCCCTCCTGACCTGTACATATTGGCAGACATCTTCTGTTTGTGGGGTTACCCTACCATAGATCTGTTTGCCACGCAATCTAACAAAAAATATCCCCTATTCTGTTCCAGGGCAGGTACAGGCAAGGGATTTATGGAGGATGCCTTCCTCATCAGCTGGACATTCCACCTAATTTATGCATTTCCTCCCATACCCCTAATGAACTGGGTAGTTCACAAGACAAGGAAGGACAAGGCCCATCTGATACTTATAGCTCCAGCATGGCCACGCCAACCATGGTTCCCCTTTCTAGTGGCAATGTCTCATGCCTCACTGATCCACCTACCTTACAGCGAGGATCTCCTTCTTCATCTGGGCCCCCATGCCACCCAACCAAACCTCCACTCATTACACCTGAAGGCCTGGCTCATGGATGGTTCTCTAACCTAGAGTTGACTTACTCACAAGTACAGATGGTCCTTCTACACAGTAGGGCACAGAACACCTGTAAGAATTACCTTCAGAAATGGAAAAGATTTTCAACATGATGTGTACGCCACCGGGTGGCTCCTTCAACATCCTCCTTACCTACCATCCTTGACTACATTCTGCACCTTAAACAAACAGGCCTCACAGTAAATTCCTTTAAAGATCACTGCTCTCAAATCTCCCCTCTAAGGCTGAGTGGCAGCACACTCTCCTAATGTGGAGCCCCCATGGGGACACTCATCTCAAAGAATGGCAGTTACTATCTAGGTGAGTTACTATCGAGGTGCATGTGGATTACCTATATCAATGAGAAAAGCACTCATAGGAAATCTCCACACAGGAGACTTCTAGTGATGCAACTGCACTTGTCCCATTATAGCATTTAAAGTGTAGATATAGCCTCAGTATTCAAAAATATTCTGTAATTACAAAGTCTGGAGCAAATCCTGCTAAATCTATGTCTTATTGCTCTGTTTTCCCTTGTCTCAGTGAACAGGCCAGTTTTCAAGACTGCAGATTTATTTTTTTAGATATTGTAAGCAAGGATTGTTTTCTTGAAATATTAAATAATAATATTGAAATGTTGATTATAAAGTTAGGAACTTATTTTATTAAGACTATTCAAATTTTATGCAGACTCTTTTAGCCAGTTCATTTCATATGGTATTTTATGGCTTAATTTTTTTCCATGGAATTTTCAGGACATACATTTTTTTATAAATTGGCATCTGAAATTCATTTATTTAAAAAGTTGTAACATTTTGCGTCTTATTCCCAAGTATCTTGGCAACTCAAGTTTGTGGAAAGAGAATAAAGGAAAGGGAGCTCACAGATATTGCCACCTGTTTATAGTAAGTTCGTAGTCATATGTACACCAGCATTACACTATGTCAGGTGGAAAAGAAGCTAGGAACAAATGCTCTGCAGTTGCTCTTCTAGAAGTAAGATGGGGTCAGTACTGGATCCTTTCAGTCAAGTAGGCAAATTAATTTAAGCAAAAAATTGGGCAGCCACAGCATGATGGAGTTAGAAAGCATAGTAATACTTACTTTGGTTTATTTATAGTATGGCATAAAAATTATTAAAGCTATCTGAATCACCATAAAACCCAACTATAACCATGTGCTCTCTGTCTCCAGACAATCCCCTTAAACTGAATTTGGTATCAGAGACTTAATATTTTGGGAGAAGCCTGCAAAATAAGCTATTTGTCTTACTTCCCCATTCCACAATCATATAAGCGCTAGACTATTAGGATTTTATGGAGAATATTCTGAATGATTCACTTCATGTCTTCAGACTTTCACCAACCTTCTCTTTTACAAGAAAAGTAAAATTCTGTTAAGGTTATTAAATGATTATTCACATTACTTCTGTGCATTAACAGTGGATCATAATTCCAGGCTTCCTATTTTGGTGATTCTGCTTATCCTTTCTTGTCTTGAAACTAAAATCTTGTTCTGTTCAGTCTGTTGGGTAACTGAAAGAAAAAAGTTCTGTTTATTTGGTTTTGAAGTCTCTTATTACAAATCTAAGGAAGCCCTTATTACAAATTGAAAGAGCATGAGCCGCAGCAGGATTAGTTTCTAGGGATGGGAGCTAACCTTGCTGTGGCTCTCCCACTTATTGACTAATCAACGGAAATTCCATCATCTAGTTTATTAAACTAAATTTAACATCCCTAAGGCCAATTCAGTAGAAAGTCGTTGCTTCTTACCCCCAACACATGATGCATATTTGGTATGAAATAAGCTGCATTGTTTCCTGGTGCCATGTCTATAGTAGAAGAACAAATAACTTAATAAATGTTAAACCAAAGTACCCTAACACAGATATAATTTTATTACATGTTTTTCTAACAAAGTGGTTTCTGCCTTTTTTTAATATCTCTCTTATAGTATCTCAGGCTGGGTATTTTATGCATCCTACATAACTTGATTCTCCCCACCCTCTCATCCTATTTGTTAAAAACTTTCATGGATTTTTCTTTTAAAGGGCAAGAACTAAATTAGTGTATTCCATGTATAGTCGAAAACCAGCAAAAGAAGTGAAAAAAGAATTGTTAAAACTAGGAGTGAATTATTACATTTTAGAAGAGTCATGGTGTATAAGAAGAACTAAGTGAGTATTGGTATTCAGAATCAACATTCTGTCCAAAGTATAGCTGAGGTTATACTGGATCTCGTCTCTGGATTTTGGAGACTGGTGGTAGAATTATGGTAACTATGTCATTAGAACTTGGAGATACCACAGTTAGCACAAGTTCTTAAACTGAAATGAATTAATGTAGTGCCAGGCTCTATAGCCACCACATAGATTTGAAATGTGTGGATAGAAATACAGACTTGACAACTCTGAGAACTTTCATAGTCATTGTACCTCTTTATGTCAAGGTATGTTGTTCAAACACCCCTACAGGCATGTGAACCATAGATATTAGATAATTTTGAGCTAGATATGCAGTCTGAATTTGCATTTATTCTTAATCATAATTAAGTATCAGAAATACATTTGTGTCCAGATCCTTGAGATGTGCAAGTAACTCTTCACCAAGTAATTCTGTTACCTTCATTCATATGTGTAAAGTTAAGTTTGCCTATGAACATTTTAGGATTATAACCTTAAGCATAACTCTAGAATACAATTAAAGCTAATGCCGAACACAGATCACTTTGCTGTGAAAGCAGTTGCCAATGTGTATGTATAATTAGGTCCAAAGGTGTTGAATTTGTTCTGCAAAATGCTAATTAATCACTGAAATTAAATAGATGTTACAAATCCAAATTACTTTTTTGACTCCATACTTTTTTCATCGATCTTGTAATATAATTTCTTTGAGTGCTTGCTCCTATCTATTCCATTCTGTATGTGCATGTGCTCTCATGTGCGCAGTTGGCAGAGATAGCACTACCCATGTGGTTGGCTGTGGCACCTTCTTGAGGCCCATACTTCTATGTTGATATATTAGTGTCTGCTGGCATATGCTCTGTCAATTTCTTCTTACTACTTATGGTGTTTAGTCGGAGTGCCTTTTCATTGCTTAACAAGGGCTATAAGTTTTGTCTATACTGTCTTCGAGTCTTAGGACCTTGTAAATAGTTTTATAGTTGTTTTTAAGAAGTTTAACTATATCATTGGAAGTTACTCCCAATAGGGACTTTGCTTGACTCTGGTTTCTGGGTTTTAAGCCTTGCTCTAACTGCAACAGCCTATGCATGTTAGTGACCCCCATTATAACTGCCTGATGTGCTTTAGGGAATTGCATATGAAGGGTAAGTGTTGCATCTGTAAAATCTTTCAATCCAGGATCCAGAAAGAGTGCAACATCTATTTGAGGGATGTCCTACTGAAGGCTGCTCTCTCCTGGCTTCTGAGCCTTCCTAGCAAGACTTTACCCCTAGCATTTCAGCCTCAGTGTGTAGTCCCTGTATTGGACTCTATCCAGCACAGCTTTCTGTTGCCAGTGCCCACAAAGTCCAAGGAAGACAGGTCCCCAGAACCAAGCATGAAAGGCCATGGGATGTCATGCAAAGAACCCAGCTTAGGCTACTCAGCCACACCAGAGCCATATGGACGTGCTTCTCCAATGGGGAACCGAGCCAAAGAATCTGCCACTGATTCCCAGGCGCGGTAGGGGACTCAGGCTTATGGCACAGCTGACGCTTTCCCAGGTTCTCCTGATGTCCAGGGATCAGAGGCCTCTACCAGTACCACTGCCACCACATAACAGGAAGTGGCAAAGGCTCCCTACAAAGCCAAGTCAGCCATCAAGCCTCCCCAGAGGGCAAGTAAGTGGTGCCGATGCCCAGAACCAAAACAATGGTCTGTCTATTCATTGCAAATCTCTGGCTTCAGAACCCAGGTTTTCTGCAGGTTGGCCTAGATCACTGGCACCACGATTGCAGTCTCTGCCCTCTCTATATGGATTGCCTAGGGGAAGGTACCAGTTACCATGTTACTATCACTGTTCACACTCCCACCAGTTGTCATCTAAGCACAGATCCTGTCCCCCACATGGTGGGTAAGGTCTCTATCACAGCACTGGCCCTGCTATTTTCAAAGCTGGTGTTCAACAGCAATAGTTATCCGTCAGACGCAGGCACTGACAGTCCCTTGATGGTCACCAGAAGGGGATTTCTCTGGTACAATGAGGTAATTCAACCCCTTGCTTGAAGCATCATCGGCATAAGTAGGCATCCAAGGCTGTGGCGATCTCTGTGGTGCTGTCTTGGCAACATGGCCAGTGGCCAGCATAGTGGCCCTACTGAAGTGCATGGGGCATGTGATGGAGTGTGGTCATGGAAGACCCCTTGGAGGTGCCTTCCGGGGTGCTGACAAAGCCCCTGCCACTCGCCTTCCTGATCTCTGGGGCCTCTTACTACCAGCTCCGCTGGTCTCCCACAGCCAAGGCACCAAGATGAGATCAATGCCCCCCAAGAAGCAGTCGTTGTCATCATCAACAACCATGGGCTCAATGCCTGTTGGTATCCGATGCCTCCCTCATTATTTCCTTCCATCTTTCCCTGTCCAGTGCAGAGTGGCCTAGTTTCTGTAGACTAGCTCCGCACCAATCTACTATATCATCTATCCATTTTCTGTGGGGTCTGCCTCTCCTATTCGGACCATCCATTATGCCGAATACCAGGATCTTAAGTTTTCGCTCGTTGTTCATTCTGCAGATATGCCCAAATAGCTGTAACTTCCATTGTATAAGCTTCTGCAGTAGGTTCTCTTTCAGCTGTATCTTCCTATATAATTCCTTGGTGACCTTCTGCATCCAATATCCTTCTCTTCGAATCTTTTGTTATCACCCATGTCTCACATCCGTACAACATGCTTCTAAATATGCACATTTTCAAGATGCTCAGCTTTGTTCCTAAGCTTAATCGCTTTACTTTTCCAGTTCTTATTTATCGCCTTCAAACTCGCTCTTGCTTTCACTATTCTAGTCGCTATTTCCTTCTTACAGTCTAGATCATGTTATGTTGTTCCCCAAATACGTGAACTTCTCTATGTTGGCTAGTTTGATCCCATCTACACTGATCTTCCTTCCTATCTGCTTATCTTTATCATTGTCTTTGTTTTATTGATATTCATAATCAGTCCATACCGCTTCCCTTTCTCATTTAACACCTGCACCGTTCTTGCTAGCTTCTCTTCATCTTTCTTGATGATAACTATATCATCTGTGAACCTCAAGTTGTTAATTCTCATCCTGTGCACCGATATCTCTTCTACCTCTTCCTTGATCTTGTCCATCACTCTCTCTAGATGTGTGATGAAGATGCTCGGCGGTATCAGATCTCTTCATACCTCTACTCGTTATAAACCAGCTTCCCAACTCTCCGCATGTTCCCACCACTGACTCTGCATTATCGTTGATATCCTTCAAGAACCGTATCAGTCTGCTATCCACTCCATAGGATTCCAACACTGCCCAAGTTACTTTCTGGACCTGTGATGCTTCAACAAGTCTCAAGAAGTTGAAGTTTCACATAGTCTCCGTGGCCTCTTCCTTCTGTTTCATAGATCTGGGAGACTGATACACTGCCCTTTACTTGAAGACCATATATTTTTGTATTAAAAATTCACAGATGTGTCCATTTCAGAGTGAGCAGATGCCATTTCCAATTAATGATGCTGTCCTGTGATCTCTCATTGGCCCCAAAGGTGTTCACCAAAGGTGTTGGCCCCAAAGATGCCAGTGGCCTCTTACTTAAGGTACTGAGGGATCCATATCTTCCTATATCATGATGATTGACTCATCAAGGGCTAGTCTTGGGAGCTTTAGTCTGGCAGATTCCACCTGCTGCAGCCTGGGCCTGTTGATAAATGAGGAAAAATACACCTCAAGGCCAGTCCAACAAATCAAGTTCATTGGGGTGATTCTCAACTCCACACAATCCAGAGCCTTACTTCTGGAAGTGTGTTTTCAGGCCCTCTTGGTCCTGATCTCCCATGTGAAGAACCACCCATAAGTCATTGCAAATATGATTGGAGTCATTCATGTTCTAGACCAGGTCCATTCATCCCTGGTTGGTGTTGGCAAGAGTTCCCACCCTGATCCCAGCACTGATGCAGGTCTCCAAGGTTTAGGGCCTGGAGTGGGGAACATACCTGGGTAAGCTCAGCATGTGGAGCTGCTAGTTGTAGTACAATGTGGCTGTCCATGTAAACATCAAGGAGCATAGAGCAGTTCACCTACCTTGCCAGGCTTTCTTGCCCCACCTGATGGGCAAGTAATGCAGGTCCTCACAGATAATACTGTCATAACGTATTACATGAGTAGGCAGGGTGGAGATACATTGTTGGCCCTTTACCAAGAACTCCTCCATTGTAGCATACCATTAATCTGGTAGCTGTACATCTGCCCAGGCCCAGGAATGTGATAGCAAATCACCTCAGCAGGACCTTCTTGTTTTGCCATGAGTGGGTGCTCCAATCAGAGGTGATCAGTATAATTCACTGACCTGGGAAACTCCCCAGGTAGACTTGCTCATGTCCTATCATAGGGATGGCCAACCTGTTACAAATGAAGAGCCAAAATAAAAAAAAGCCCCGGCTGTCATTTGGTCAAGGGGGAAAACAAACAAAAAAAAAACCCAGGCATTTTGAGGGATAGCTCACTGGTTTGAGCATTGGCCTGCTAAACCTAGTGTTGTGAGCTCAGTCCTTGAGGGGGCCATTTAGGAGCTGGGGCAAAATCTGTCAAGGATGGTACTTGTTCCTTCTGTGAGGGTGGGAGACTGGACTAAATGACCTCTCAAGGTCCCTTCCAGTTCTATGAGATGGTATATCTCCATATTTAAGGTGGCCATTTTGAAATCTGCACAGGACTCTGCAACTCCTGCTATCAGACAGAAACACACTGCACCTTTCAGAGCCACGGGTGTGGGAGCTTCAATTTTTTCTTTGAAGAGCCGCATGCGGCTCGTGAGCTGTGGGTTAGCCACCCCTGTCCTAACAGAACAGGAAATGCCATGGGCTCCTTGTCCAGATGCCTTTCTGTTCTCATGATCACGGGCCCTGATGTATGTTTCCCCACCAGTATGATTGATCCACAGAATCCTTTTGAAGAACAAACAGGACAGAACAGAGGTTGTGTTCATAGCCTCATGTGGCCTCAACAGCACTGGTTTGGCAGGCTCTGGGTCTTTTGGTAGCTGCCCCACAGCAAGTCTGGCTAGAGGGGTAGCTGCAGTCCCAAAACCTTGTCAGTTTTCTGCACCTAAACCTGGTAGCATTGCACTTAACAGTATGGCTACTGCATCACTGAAAGTGGAAGAATAGGAATGTTTAGGCCAGGTTCAACAGATGGTGTTGGGCAGCAGAAAATCCTCCTCCGCAGAGACTTATCTAGCCAAGGGGAAAACGTTTACATGCTGGGTGTCAAAAGGATAGCCAGACCTCACAGTTCTTGCTACAGGCTATTCTGGATTATCTTCTGCAACTGAAGCTCCAAGGGTTGTACCTGTCATCAGTCAGGTCCACATGGCTGCTTTTTCAGTCTTTCACCCTCCGTGCCAACGCAAGTTGGTCTTTGCTCGCAACATGACAGCCCAGTTTTTGAAAGGTCTGGATTGTCTCTACCCTGATGTCTGGGATTCTGTTGCTCCCTGGGACTTGAATCTCATGCTGTCATGGCTCACTGAGCTTCCCTTCAAATCTTTGGCTTCCTGCTCTCCTCTTTTCTCCTGGTATCCTACAAGGATGAGGTCCAGCTGTGGATGTACCTAGCATTCCTTCCCAAAGTTATTTTCCAGTTCATACCAGCCAGTTTATATGCTTACATGTCTTCTTTCCAAAGCCTCATAAATTGGAAGAATGCAGGTTGAATGCCCTGCACATCTGGAAGGCACTAGCCTTCTATGTTGACAGGGCAAAGCCATTTTGCAAGTCAACGCAGGTGTGAGCCACAAGGAAATGTCACTCAGTGTCTGTTCAAAAGATTTCATCCTGGATCACAGCCAGCATCTGCTACTGCTATGAGCTCACAAAAGTGCTTCTACCAGAAATTGTGCAGGTTAATTAGACTAGTGTAAACATCCTCTGTGGCCTTCCTGACACACATGCCAGTCCAGAAGATCTGTAGAGCTGCTTCCTAGTCATCTCTGTAGATGTTCACATCATGTTACGCATTTACTCAGCAAGTTCAAGACAATGCTGTCTTTGGCAGTGCAGTGCTACAAGCCTCATCCTCAGGAAGTCCAATCTCACTTCCATCGATACTGCTTTTGAGACACCTAGAATGGGATCAAGATGAGCAAGCATTTAGAAAAATGGTTGGTTACTTTTTATTTTTAACTGTTGTTCTTTTGAGATGTGTTGCTTATGCCCTTTCTACTACCCATCCTCCTGCCCCTCTGGAGTTGCTAGCAAGAAGGAACTGAGAGACCGTACGGCTGGCGGCAACTAATATACCAATGCATGCGCCCAGCATTCAAGATCACAGCCAACCTTATGCATATTGAGAAGGGAGTAAACAATCTCCAATAATGACTGCACATCTAAAATAGATTTAGACATGAGCAGTCCATTTCTAAGTACAGCAGTTATGAAAAGCAGGAAACTGGTTTTTCACAATTTCTCTAATCTGACATGTATTCCCAAAGTAAAGGCAGGTGGGGAGGTGCCTTTTTAAAGAAGAGGTTTCCATAATTTATCAAAAAGAAGCAAGAATTCAGAATCCCATGTTTTTCCTTTCTGGGCCAGTCATTTTTAACTCTTAGCTTATAAAATAAATTTGCCATATGTTTCCTTGATTACATTTACTTACTTGTCCTTTATTTTTGTTTATATATTCAAATATATTCTAGGCCTGGTTGCAGTATGCCTGAGATTTGGGATGTGGAAGACCCTGCCAATGCTGGCAAAACTCCTTTATGTAACCTTATGAGTAAGGACCCTAGGCCGTATTTCAACACAGTATTCCAGAACAGTATTTACAGAGTCTTGAAGGTTACAAGGGAGTAACATTTCAGTGCAAAGAACTGTCCGTCTTTTTCAACTTTTTAACTGGTAACTGTATAAAAATTCTAAATCAAACACCTTTTATACTCCGCTTAAAACAATGAAATGTGTATTCTTTATTTTTTTGTCACTTTAAAGGAATTTTGACAATAGAAGTACCATGAACTGACCGTTTGGATTTCTATTACAGGGTCAGTCCCTTGAGGTTTGCTATGCAAATGATTACATGTTTTCACACACTAATCAATACTGATCCAAACGAGTTACAGTGGCTATAGAAAATGATTACAGTTCTCAAAACCAATCAGATTGTGAAACAATGCTGTCATTCAGTCTTAGCAAAGCAAGATTATTTAAACCATTGTTGCTAGTAATTAGGAATTAACAGATGGTGCTATAACATTTAGCAGCAGACTTCTCAAATCACCATCACAGTATGATTGCTCCCAGTATTCCTCTTTCAATAATGTGACATTGATCCCACATTTCTGAAGAAGTCATACAATTTCATTAGCCATTTCTGTGTCTAGGTTGGTTTTAAAAGAAACTGAAGAAAGATTGCTGATAGTTTTATATCACTTTAAAACATGTCATGGCTTTAAGTTTATCTTTTTAAATGGAAATAGTTTTTAAACAATCTTGAAATAGCACACTTTAGATGTGTACTTTGCATGTGCTTGGAACCATAACTTCAATATTAATTTTTAAAATGATTAAAGCAATAACAGGAATATCTACAACTGTTCAGTAGCTTAGCCTGTGATTGCCAAAGGATTTTAACATTCCAGAACATTCAAAACAATTAGACATGTACATGTAAAGTTTTAGAAGGAAAAAATATTTTAGTCAAAATCTATCATTTATTTTTGATTTTATATAGCTTTAGAGAGGTAGTAGAATAAACTCTGCACTGATTTAATAGTGCTAGAGCTGCATCTCAACTCAGTAGGAAATGCTGCATCTAGTTCTTATCACATTTTCTTTCCCCATCTATTAAAGCCTGTTTAAGTATTCTGTTGTACATTGGCCATCTAGCTTCATTTAACTAATATTGGTTTTTCAAAATAATTTTTAAAATTATTCAGATAATACTGAATACACCTTGTAACAAAATAAACTTGACTATAATAGATTAGTCAAAAGATTGTGTAAATTCAATCACTAAACCAAATATTAAATATAGGTTAATTGAATTGTCTGACCATGGACAGTGCAATTTTCCTTCCTGCTCTCAAGCTTTTCCTTATTTCTATCACCATATTGTGAAAGGTACAGGACTTAATTTCACAGAGGAATTCACTTATGCTAGAGCAAGGACACCATACAGACTCTTAACAAACAAGATATTATAAATTCCATATGTTACAGCCACTGGAAAGCATCACAAGTGATATAGATTTGTAACTTTTGAGACTATATCAATGTTAACTGTTCAGTCAGCAGCCTAATCACATGATTGTGGTCTAGATGGCTATACTGGATGTTTGGCCTTGACTGCATCAGTAGATTCTGAAGAAATAAACTTTTTTTTTTACATGTGACAGTAGTAACAAAATGTTGAACATTGCGAAAACAGTGGAATAAAATGATATTACTGCTGATCAGTATTTTATGTATTTGATTTTTTTAATTGTTTTTGGTGGGTGGGATGCAGATAAAGGTTTGAAAATATATTTTAACTTTGTATAAACTTTTTGGTAAAGTTTCTATAAAGAAACTGGATCACTAAAAAGGGCTTGGGAGTGGAGATATAATGTTTTAAATGTTGAGTTTCAAGAAAGCAGTAAAAAGCCTACCTTTCTTTATAAACATTGTAACTAAATAGTGTTTTAGCACAAAAAGTTACTGTATTTTTATGGGGTTTATGCCAGTTGTTCACATGTACTTATATGTAGTTAAATAAAAAAATTCATGGAATGTGTTTTTTGTATTTTTATTCACTAATATCACATTTTACAGAATTTAGTACAGTAAAATAATAATGTCAGTTTACAGGTATGACAACCACATAGGTTAATAGTCTTTGTGAAATAATATGAAACAGACCAGGAGTCTGTTATGCTTTAATCAAATTCTGGCGATCTCACTTTTCCTTTCTCTATAAATGTCCCTTAGTAATATAGGTACAAAACATTAATCATGAGCCAAACTCCAAAATGTTTATTTCAGTGGCAATTCATTCCTAAATGCGAAGCTTCAATTAGTCTAGTCTATTTACTGAGATTTGTGTTCAATTAAAAATTAGTGTAAAATTTAGCCTTTGAAAAGGAAGCTATACAGTGTCAGTGTGTATATATCCCCAGGCAATATTTTGAGAATGATCAAAGCACCTCTTTCTTTGAAAGTGATTAATGCATTTTGAATAGTTATCCCTTTGACCTTTTCTAAGCTGCATATGAATTTTGTATTTCAAGGCCAAAAAAATCTTTCAATCTAATATTAACATAACATTAGCATAAAAAGGTATAGTAATGAGAAAATATCAGATGAAAGTCTGTGATACAGAGAAAAAGGATTTTGAGCTAAGACTTGGGGAGACTGGGAAAAGGAGGTGGGAGAGGGGAAGAGAGAGGGTGGGAGACGGGAGGGCAACTAAAATGATCGGGGGTTTGGAACAGGTCCCATATGAAGACTAAAGAGACTGGGACTTTTCAGCTTAGAAAAGAGGAGACAGAGGGGGGATATGATAGAGGTCTATAAAAGCATGAGTGGTGTGGAGAGGGTGCATAAAGAAAAGTTCTTCATTAGTTCCCATAATAGAAGGACTAGAGGACACCAAATGAAATGAATAGGTAGCAGGCTTCAAACTAACAACAGAAAGTTCTTCACAAAGCAAATAGTCAACCTGTGGAACTCCTTGCTGCAGGAAGCTGTGAAGGCTAGAACTAGAACAGAGTTTAAAGAGAAGTGAGATAAATTCATGGAGGTTGGGTCCATGGAGTGGTATTAGCCAGGGGGTAGAAATGGTGTCCCTGGCCTCTGTTTGCGGAAGGCTGGAGATGGATGGCACGAGACAAATGGCTTGGTCATTGTCTTCGGTCCATCTCCTCCAGGGTACCTAGTGTTGGCTGCTGTCGGCAGACAGGCTACTGAGCTAGATGGACCTTTGGTCTGACCCAGTACGGCCATTCTAAGCTCAGGGTCGGGGGTCTCAATGGACCACCTTGATCCTTGATTTTCATGCACACCTGCTCCTGGGTGGCCAGGCT